GTGGCGGGCCAGGGGCATTGCTTGGCGAATGCGAGGCCAACTGGTTAAGACGTGCCCGGAGGTTTGGTTTGCAGCGCCTCAATCGGAAGCGGACGATTCCAAAGATATCCCCGGTTCGTTGTCGTCGTTGTCGAGGCCGCCGGGCCGCAGAGAGCGACCCAGACGAGAAATCACTGCTTGTTTGAATGTCCCTGCCGGGTGCGCGTTTTTCCCCCAACAGTTTGCTGAGCGGGGTGCGATTATTAGAGAAGCTAGTTCTGGCCAGGGGAGGCTTGAGCAGAGACATCCTCAAAGCAATGGCATGGTCAGGGCCGTGTCGACTGAGACATCCAGAGAGCTTTCGTTTCCCAGTTGCCTGAGATTGGGCGTTTCGCCTGAGACATCCTCGCAACTCTGGACTCCGATCTACCGCGCGCGAGGTGGCCAGCCCGTTTCGTCTGATACGTCCTCGCAATTCTGATCTCCGAGATGATGCGCGCGAGATGTTCTGGCCCGTTTCGCTTGAGACATCCTCGCAACTCTGAGCTCGGAGATGCTGCGTGCGAGGTGGTCAGGCACGTTTCGCTTGAGACATCCTCGCAACTCTGGGCTTCGAGATGCCGCTCGAGAGGTGGTCCAGCCCGTTTCGCCTGAGACATCCTCGCAACCCGGGGCTCTGAGGCACTGTGCGCGAAGTGGTCCGGTTCACTTCGCTCGAGACGTCCGCGCAACTCGGGTCCCGCGCGCGAAGGGGTCCAACCCGTTTCATCTGAGACACTCTCACAATTCTGAGCTCTGAGAAGATGTGCGCGAAGTCGTCTGGTCTGTTTCGCTTGAGGCATCCTCACAACTGTGGGCTCCGAGATGCTGCCCTCGAGGTGCTCCAGGGCGTTTCGCCGGAGGCATCCTTGCAGCCACGGGCTTATAGATGCGCGGGGTTGTCCGGCGCGTCTCGCTTGAGGCATCCTCGTAATTCTGGGCCCCGAGATGCTGCACGCCACGCGGGGGGCGCGTTTCGCGCCAAGCATCCTCGTAACTCCGAGCTCCGAGATGCCGCGCGACAGGTGGTCTGGTCCGTTTCGCCTAAGACATCCTCGCAACCCTGGGCTCCGAGATGCTGCCCGCGAGGTGGCCTGGCGCGTTTCGCATGACACATCCTCGCAATTCTGGGCTCCGATCTGCTCCTCGCGAGTCAGGAGGGAAAAAACACACAGACACAATTAATCGTCGATTCCCTAGAAAATATGGGAAAATATGGGAAGTGGTGGGGAAGATACCCAGAAAATATGGGAAACTATAGGGAATGTTTTTATGTGTGTGTATTTATCTGTGTGTCCCAGGGCCCCTTCAGCGAGGTGGTCCAGCCCGTTTCGCTTGAGAGGTCCTCACAATTCTGGGCTCTGAGAAGATGTGGGCGAGGTGGTCTGGCCCGTTCTACTTGAGACATCCTCGCAATTCGGGGCTCCGAGATATTGCGCGCGAGGTGGTCTGGTCTGGTTCGCTTGAGCATTCTCGACACTTCGGGTTCCGAGAGGGAGGAGGGAGGAGGGAGGAGGTGTCAGACCCAAGCGAACCATGTGATTGCGAGTATGTTGTCAAATTGTTCTCTGGGAGCAGTCTGGGCGCCGCCTGCGATATCCTCTCAACTCTGGGTTTCGAGATGCCGCGCGAGAGGTGGTCCAGCCCATTTCGCATGAGACATCCGAATGGGCTCAGAAGATGTGCGCGAAGTGGTCTGGTCCTTTTGCTTGAGACATCCCTCGCAACTCTTGGCTCCCCGCTGCCGCGCGCGGTGTGGTCCAGCCCGCTTCGCCTGAGACATCCTCGCAACTCTGGATTCTGATGAGTTGTGCGCGAAGGGGTCCAGCGAGTTTTGCCTGAGACATCCTCGCCAGTCTGGGCTCCGAGAACATGTGCGCGAGGTGGTCTGGCCCGCTCCGTTTGAGCCATGCTCACAATTCGGGGTTCCGAGACGCTGCGCGCGAGATGGTCCTTTTCGTTCGAGGGATCTTCGAACTTCGGGTCTCCGAGAGGAAGGAGGAAGGAGGGAGGAGGGAGGAGGAGGGAGGAGAGGAAGGAGGAAGGAGGGAGGAGGGAGGGGGAAGAGGGAGGAGGGAGGAGGGAGGAGGGAGGAGGGAGGAGGGAGGAGGGAGGGAGGAGCGATCCATTGGATGGCGTGCACTTCTGTTGTCGACTTGTACCCTGGGAGGGGTCGGGGGGCGACCCTGGGCCGACGGAGAGGAGGCAGCCTATAGCCAGCGCCGGGTGGCGAGCACGGGGGAGCCCCTGCTGGAGCAAAAATCGTGGAGATGCCTCGGGCAAGAGCGCGTGGAGCAGGGAGGAGGCAGGGAGGAGTCCAGTCGCCCCCAATCCCAGGCGCTTCGTGAAAGCCTGGCAGCCGATCCAGGAGCCATGCCATGACGAGTTGCCCGGATCAGGGATGTGGAGGAGCATGCATTGGGATCAAAGGACTGGGTAAGACGTCGTACGTAAAGAGTCACCACCCACCAAACCACCCCAACCCAGCCCGAAGGCTCAGATTTACCCTCGATTTCCAGCGGGGGGGGGTCGGGAAACATCGACAAAAACACATGTGGAGCCCTTACCCTGAGGTCTGCAGGGGCTATTTTTAAGACCCTGTCAGCGGGTCTATTTTTTTAGACCGGGTCTATTTATGTAGACCCTATGCTGTAAATACTCGGTATGCGGTTATATGATATATTTATCATGTATGTTGTGGTGCCGAACATGTTTCTTGTTTTGTTTTAATGACGTGTGTGTCCGCGTTCGCTTTATCCTCCTCCTCCTCCTCCTCCTTCTCCCCCTCGAGGCCCTGGAACTTCGGGGAACCAGCACAGACCACCATCGGGAGGGCCTCACACCTGGAGACCTCGGCTGCTGCGAGAGCGCGATCCTCATAGATGTAAATCGTGAGGAAGTCTTGGGCGATATTCAGTCCTGAGTGTCGAGGGCGCGTTTCCTGGATATTTTTGAGGGAGTTCCGCGCGAGAGCGCGATTTCTTGATAATTAGGCACGAAGCCCCGAGAGCTGCGGTCGCAGCCAGTTTGGCTCAATGGCGGAGGGCGAGAAACAACCCAAGCGCGGGGCGGGCCGCGTGGCTTCGACAGGATGCGATTCGGGCGAGTTGGCTGAGCTGCTGGATGGCTTCTTCAACAAGCCCGACGGGTGCGACCTGCGGGGGCCTTGGACGGGAGGTCGATCGGATAACGACGACGACGACGACGACGACGACGACGACGACGACGACGACGACGGCGGCAGCGACGACGACGACGACGACGACGACGACGACGACGACGACGACGACCGACGACCGACGACCGACGACCGGCGACCGACGACGACCGACGACCGACGACCGACGACGTCGGGGCCCTACCGAACTCCTTCTGGCCTCCTCGTGTTCAGTTTGTTTCGAGGCGATGTCCGCTCTCGTCGGGCGGCCCGATCGCGCCTGGGGGAAGGAGCAGGAGGACGAACGATGATGATTAAGATGAGGAGACGGGTGCTAAGAATGAGTAGGATGAGAGGGATGAGAAGGCGAACGGTACGGCGACGGGGGCTCGACAGCCAAGGATAGACTACTCGACCGACATGGACGCCCCTGCGGACGGCAACGAGATCAAGCTGCACGTCGACATGCTCAAGCAGCTGAGGCAGTGGGCGCCGAAAGGTGGCATCAACCAGAGCGCAGCTCAGGAGCTCACCCAAACCTCGATCCTCTCGCCGTCGTCGTCGCTGTCGTCGTCGTCGTCGTCGTCGTCGGTCGGTCGTGGTGGTGGTCGTCGGTAGTCGGTAGTCGTCGTCGTCGTCGTCGTCGTCGTCGTCGTCGTCGTCGTCGTCGTCGTCGTCGTCGTCGTCGTCGTCGTCGTCGTCGTCGTCGTCGTCGTCGTCGTCGTCGTCGTCGTCGTCGTCGTCGTCGTCGGCGTCGTCGTCGTCATCCGTCGTCGTCATCCGTCGTCGTCGTCGTCGTCGTCGTCGTCGTCGTCGTCGTCGTCGGTCGTCGTCGGTCGTCGTCAGTCGTCATCGTTGGTCGTCGATCGTCGGTCGTTCGTCTCCTGTCCTCCTCGAATCTCGACCCCAGGAGGCGCTCGACGAGGTCTCGCGCAGGCACGAGGACAAGTGGAAGCTCGCTAGAGAGCGCAAGAAGTGGGCCTCCGACACTGCCAAGAGCCTCCGCAGCATGCTGCGCGCGGTGAGCAAGGCGCGCGGCAGGAGCCGCGGGCACAATCGGATGATGTCATCGCACGCGTCATCGCCGATGACGCGTGCGATGACATCATCGATGGGACACGAAGAGATGGGAGAGACGGATGGAAGGAGGGGGAGCGGAAGGAGAAGGAGGAGAGTGAGGAGGAAGAGTAGGAGGCGGAAAGTAGCGACAGAGGGGAATAAGGTGATGTGGGGACGGCGACGACAGGGATAACAGAGGAAGAGGAATCTAACCCCTAAGATTCGTCCCTGAACCCCTCTCGAGGTATAAACTGACCAGCTTTTCGAGGTGGGTCCAGCCGTGGCAACGAGGAGGGCTCCAGAAAATCCGAACACCTCAAACTTGGTTCCTCGGCCAGCTAGGACCCACATTCCAGAGTGGGCGGCCGCGTTCGTCGAGGAGTCCGCGGACGAGGTGCCGGCAGATGCAGCGGCAGCGGCGGCCCCTGCACAGGAGCATCGTCGTCGGCGGCGGCGGCGTCGTCGTCGTCGGCGTCGGCGTCGGCGTCGTCGTCGTTGGGGCGGCGGCGTCGGCGTCGTCGTCGTTGGCGTCGGCGTCGGCGTCGGCGTCGTCGTCGTCGTCGTCGTCGTCGGAGTCGGAGTCGTCGTCGTCGCCGCCGCCGCCGCTTCCGTCGTCTTCGTCGTCGTCGTCGTCTGCGAGGAAGTTCGCGTCGGCGGGAAGCACAAGGGTAGCAAGCTGACGAGCATCGTCACGGACCGCGGCTTTCATCTCGGATGGGCCCCAGAGCTGCAGGCACCGCCAGTCGAACGGGATGCAGGGGGAGGA